AGAAGCACTAGACAACATGACAAATACAATTGCAGTTTTAATTTTCTACTACAATTCTTACGATGTATTTATTTGACTCAAGTATTGATAAAAATCATTCAAATTGATATAATAAACACTCATATTGCATATATCTATGCATACAAGGTACACATGTATTCATAGTGTGTGTCTGCTCGAAAGAGAGAGGGATGGAGGGAGAGAGAGAGAATGAATGAATGAATGAATGAGAAGACAGAATTGCATAGGATATCTATCTTGAGGAAAGGACAAAGATAATGTCAGAGGAGTTTCATCCCCAAATGATTAAGGTCCCCAGATCATAGTAGATGACATCTTATTTGTATGGTCTTATTCAGATTTTACTTTTGACCTCTTGATGACAACCCTGTGAATAAGTAGGGCAATGGTTATTATTTTCCATATAGAGACAAGCAAGTGAAACAGGGAGATCAATTGCGTTGTTGAAGACTTTTGGGAGGGCAAAGGAAAAGGTATATATTCTTTCCAGAGGGAAATTGGCCAACACCTATCAAAACAGAGCCTGGAGAAATGGAGAGAGAGAAAAGATAGTCCTTGACTCCAGCAATTCTATCTCTGGAAATTTATCCTAGAGAAATTCTTACAAGTGCAAAAAACCACATGTACAGGGTAGTGTGTAATGGAGAAAAATCAGACACAAACCTAAATATTTATCAATAGGGGAATAGTCTTGTTCCTGTTACTTTTTTTTTTTTCTTTTGAGACTGGGTCTTGCTCTGTTGCCCAGGCTAGAGTGCTGTGGCATCAGATTAGCTCACAGCAAACTCAAACTCCTGGGCTCAAGCGATCCTCCTGCCTCCGCCTCCTGAGTAGTTGGGACTACAGGCGTGTGCCACCATGCCCAGCTAATTTTTTCTATTTTTAGTAGAAATGGGCTCTCGTTCTTGCTCAGGCTAGTATCAAGCTCCTGACCTCAAGCGATCCTCCCGCCTTGGCCTCCCAGAGTGCTAGGATTGCAGGTACTGCGCCCAGCCCTCCTGTTACTTATTGTAGCACAAAAAACTAACCCCAAAATCATGTCCTAAAACAATCATTTTATTATTTTGTTCATGATTTTGTGGGTTAGGAATATCCAAAGGACACATCAGGAAAGACCTATCTCTGCTCACAGTGTCTGCAGCCATGACTGGAATGACTCAGATGGCTAAAGTCTGGACAGCTGGGGACTGGCTGTGCACTTCTATATCTTCCCAGGGTCTCAGAGACTCCATCTGCTCTCTCCATCTGGTTTCTCAAGCACAAAGACCTGAGGATATTTGGACTTCTTACATGGCTCAGGGATTGAAGAGATTGTTCCCAGGATCGTCCTTTGACCTTCATAGTAGGTTGCTTGTGCTGCTCTCTTTGTCAAGAGGGTCACTGTAGACTGCCCAGATTTCAGGGGAGGGAAATTAGCCAAGCGTGGTGGCGCATGCCTGTGGTCTCAGCTATTCAAGAGACTGAGGCAGGAGGATCACTTGAGCCCAGGAGTTCAAGGCTGCAGTGAGCTAAGATCAGGCCACCACACCCCACCCTGGGCAAGAGAGTAAGAACTTATCTCCAAAAAAAGGTGAGGAGAGGAGGAAATTGGCTCCACCCCTCAATGAGAGGAGAAAAAAAGAACTTGCAACTTTTTTTTTT